CAATTTCATGATAACAATTGCAATCCCCATCAGATATCAAAGTATCACTCAATTTCATGATAACAATTGCAATCCCCATCAGATATCAAAGTATCACTCAATTTCATGATAATAATTGCTATCCCCATCAGATATCAAAGTATCACTCAATTTCATGATAATAACATCAAATGTGCTTACATCAAATGTCAACAACATATTTTGTAGAAATATGGAAATTCCTTAAACAATCAATTGTAAAACATTTCAAAGTAGCTTTCCTATGAGAAAGGAAAAGATGTGCTATTCTAAAATATATAAACATAATTTTCAATTTTTATAAAAATTTATTCGAATCGTCCAGCATATGACAAATGACGCTTATAAATTAGTTAAAGAAATTTTTTTTTTTCTTTGTTGAAGAATTTTTTTTTAAATTATTTCCTGTTTTACTACTAAAAATTAACATATCATTTGGACGAATAAATATGCAAATCAAGTGCCAATTAGTCTGTTAATGCTTTGTAAACACTCGAAGTTTATTAAATTGTTTAATATTCAATTGAAACAATATCACAATAACAACCAATAATAATATTAGGATAATAGTGAAAAAAAAAATGCAAAAAGTGCATGATAGTTGATAAGATGTAAGAAGAAGAGAAGAGATAAGGATGGAAAAATGAGAACTTTTATTTTACTGAAACTTTTTTCACCAACAAAAGAATGGGAAGGAAAAATATTTGTGCAAATGAATATGTTGGAAAAATAAATGAATAAGCAAATTAATTAATTAACTAATTAATTAACTGATTAAAATGTTGAAAAACAAGATCCATTGGTTAGGAAAAATTTCATAAAAATTTAAATACAAAGATGGATGAATTCAAGGTTAGTTTTTACTTTTTCTCTCTTAAGTATACTATTGTAAAGGAAATTTCACAATATGTCATTTATCATGTTCGTCAAGGTCAACGATATACAGAAAAAAAAATCTAAATTTCATTCATGTTGAAAATCTGATGAAAAAAAAAAGTTTGTGAAATTTGCGAGAGAAAGGGGGGAGAGGAAGAGGGAGAGGGAAAGAAAGATGTAAATAGAAAGTTTTTGAAAATCTTCGATATATGATATTAACAGCATTCAATACAAATTTAACTTTGAAATATTTCAATTCTTTATTTCGATCTCCCATTTTAGTTAATTATGTTATTCTTCATTATATTGGTAAATAATCATTTCTTAGGTCATTTCTTTTTTTTTATTCCTTTTCGTCTGTCTAAGAAATGAAAATTTCTCTTTATCTTTATTGGACTATGTCCATTTGCGGGAAATGATGACATAAGACGGAAGAGTACAGTTGTACTGAAACAAAATGTGTCAAATTTGAGATAAGCAAAACGACTATTGAATATTTTAAAACTGAAATTTCAAAAATTAGCATTGGAATAGCAAATCTCTCAACATCTAAAGCATTGAACTGTTAAGAAATCATTCAAATCTCAAATATTCCTAAAAGGTATCGAAATAAAGAAGGAATCAAAGAGCTTACTTTCAATTGCAGTGATTTTTTTTTTTAAACGTGAAATAAAATTTGATAAGATTAAAATTGGAAAAAAAAATGAACCGTATGTTTTTGTTTCGTAAATCAAATGGTTTTTCTCGGAAATGTGTAAGAGAAGTTCACGCTCATTTTAAGAAATGAAAAAAATATTTTAAAAAATTGTTTGTATTTCTGCCATTCCTTCCCTTCATTAAATAATGAAGGGAAGGAATGGCAGAAATATAAACAATAAAGAAAATCGGCACTAAAGTAATAAAATATTCCCATAAAAAAAAAAAAGAGGGAGTTAAAATAAGTGCACCTGATTACAAATGCTTCCTTAACCTTTCAATGCAAAAATGATTCACGTAAATTAATACTTCTTCCGAAATGGATAATATTAAAAAAAAACCAATTAGTTTTTCTTTATAGTAAATCAATTTCTATATGTCAATCATTACGAGGTATATATTTGTTAATCCCTGAAATGGACAAAAAACAGAGCATGTTTTTAGTTTCCCAGTACAATGGATATATCAAATGAAAACAAAGCTCAGCAAAAGTCTTAAATGATCACTCTAGAGAATTAATCTTTATCACTCTGCTCATCTTTAGTGCCATTAAGAAGACACTGTATTCTCTCACTTCTCTTATGATAAAACATTAATAACTTGTCTGGAAGAATGATGAAAATGGTTAGTCATGCAAGGCGATGTGACGATAATGAATTCGAATTGGTTTACTAAAAATCGTGAGATATACAATATTATCTTATATTAAAAGAAAAACTTACGAAGATTAAAACCATCAATGTAAATTCTTTAAACAAATGAATTTTCTCAAAATAAATTTCACAAAACCTTAAAGCAGAATCGATATACCTCCCGGCAATACTATTTCTTTCCGACCTTCTTTTTTGACTAAAAGACTATAGCAAGTTTTCAAAACAAAGGGTCAGTAACCTAAAAAAACAAAACATTTTTTCGGTGTTGGCAGGGATGACTTTAAAAAATTAACATTACTAACATTATACGCGAAAAATCCTTTGACAAAATTATTCATTCACACAAATATACAATTCAAAACTTTTCACAATCGATAAGCAGTTAGCAAAAACTTTCTTTCTATTGCTCGCTTGCTTCCATTAAACATCGAAAGTATTTCTGCTGGTTAAAAAATAAATAAATTTATGGAACTGAAATAACGAAATTAAAGTGAATGACAAGGATAAAACTACTAACAACTAAATTAATACAAGAAAACAGAAATAAAATACCCTAAGTGACTGATATTCTAATTGACTCATATTTTCATGCAAACTCCACAGTTTAATTATGGAACGAAAAATGACATCAGAACTATAAGAATTAAAATAAAATATTCATAACAGTCAAGAAAATTTTGAGAACTAATACAGTTTATTTTTACATGTTTCGCTGAAGGAAAAAAATCCATTCACAAATGTGAACAATAAATGATTTTCACTTAATGAAAGTAAAAAAATGCAATAAAATATTCAAAACATCGAACGAAGCAAATATCCTAATTGACTCATATTTTCATGCAAACTTCACAGTTTAGTTAGGGAATGATACGAAAAATGACATCAAAACTATAAAAATTAAAATTAATTTCTGAGTTGGCGCCACCACACATAGTAATGCTGTACAACTTTGATTACGCCATAATGTACTGTAAAAAGGTATTAGCCGTTGATCACTATTATTTATCATAATAGCAGTCCGCAAATTCGACTTTAATGAACAGAAAATACTACTTTAATACTACTTTAATGAACAGGAAATAGGGAAACTAATACATCCTTAACAAAAGGCGAACTGTTTCTATAACAGGTGATAAAATCGATTAAACCCACCTTAGTAATACATCTCAGTATGAAAAGTGTCGGCCTTCGGCATAACTTGGAAATCATCAGTATACGGTGATATTGAATCCTAATATTTCATTATGCTAAGCCAGAAGAAATCATGACGTACGTCAGTATTTTCAAATCGACCGTTAAAATGACCTATACAGGAGACCAGTTTCCAAGATATGAGAGGATTTGCAGAAAATTGATGAATAAATGCGCATCTGAAAACGGACTTCGAGATCAAATTTCAAGAGACGATTGGGGAAAAGGAGTTAACTTGTCATTATGCATTTGAACAGCTGATACGTCTTCCGGACGTGGTCCACTATTGATACCGTCGAGTAGTCTTAACTTAGCGTCGATTCTGAAATCAAATAATTGTAAATATAGAAGAAAGACAAAAAAAAGAAAATTTAGTTGAGGAATGTTGAAACTGCTCCGAAGCCTTTCAATGACTGTATTCCGGATACTAATACGCACCCAATCCCTGGAAAAAGCTCAATCCAGGTGATATTTAGATGGATTAAACAGGAAAAATGAGTCCCTATATTTCAATAATGCACAACTACTGTAATTTAGAGTGCAGTGAAATGTCAGGACGGGTTCTGCAATGAAAATAAAGAAGAAAAAGCACAAATCCAAACTTCATTTGGAATTGAAGCTTTTTCCACAAGATTACAAGTAAAATTTCTAACCATGTACTAGAAATATCGGATATAAGGGTAAGGCCTGAAAAAAAATTCAGTTACCTTTTTTTTCGTCTTGCACTTGTTTGTAGATTAGAATTTTGGTTTTTAAAATGCACTCGACGATATTTTCTTCTACCGCAGCGAATATTTTATCGAAATCTGCAACCAGGACATTTCCAAATTTATAATAAGCTTTCTGAAAATTGGAATAATATAAGCCGAATGACCTCTGCTTTCCAACTCCATCTCATCCTGTTCATATTGAGCAGCCATAATCGCTGCTGTGTACTCTGTTACTTGCTTGTCGCAATAGTCGAATTCTTTCTTGGCTTTCCGGACCTTTTCACTCATTCGTGACACTTCCTTCTCAGAATCTGGAAACTTCGAAAAATAATGGATAAGGAAAGATTTTGGGGATTCAAACGGTTAATTAATTAGTTAACTTGAGAATACTCTTTTTTGGGATCTACAGAACCAAAAAACTAAGGAAAGCATGAGTAGAGAGGACATTTAAACCACCAAATTTACACACTTCGCAACGCACGCTGCAGCTTCTGTTTTACTTTTACAAATTTCTTCGCTTTCTGTTCATCAGTAATAAGATATTGTCGCCAGTTCTCGGCCTAAATTAAAAAGAATATCAAGGAAAAATCATTGTGAAAAGCTCCAAAGAAGTAAAAGGCTACATGCACACCGCCCAGGATAAAGCAACAGTAAGGCAAATGACCTCAAAAATGCACTATGACAATTGTATACGTCCATCAGTCCAGACAATAACATGTGCTGACAGCAATGACAAAGTGCTGTCGCTTTACAGTATTTCAGCGTAAAAACGAAGATACAAATATATGACACGCGTGGTAACAACTGCTACATCCATATCAGTACATGCAGTTTAGAAATATCACATCTTGACAATGGGTGATTAGTTCAATAACAAGTATAAACAGTTTTGATGTGAAATCGTAAGAAAATCAAATTTCTACTATTTAAAAGGCAAATTATGATGTAGGTAAAATACCACCTCGTCGTTCTCACTTTTAACGTCTGTTTCAAACTGTCTGATACAGTTCAACAATTCCACTACTTCGTTAACTTCACTAGCCATGACGCAATTCCTACAAAGCATATCATAATGTAAAATATATTCTTTCCCATTACACTTGACCACTTATATATCAGTTAAGACTAAGTAGTAAGATAGAGTTATCTCCAATTAATTTATTCAACCCAGATCCCAGCATATCTTCACATCGAAATTTCAGTACAACTTCCGTCCCTACTTCATTCCTTTGAATGGAATAACTTCCATTAGGAACTATCACGCTATGCGAGAAAGAAATTATAAATTACTCTCGAGAGTGACTAGAATCGGCGGGAGTGAAAACTGAAATTCGAATGATGCCTCAAGAAAAGATTATCTGGTACTATGTCCGCTGGAATATTCCTCTTGATCCGATAAAGGTTAGAAAATTTTTCACTCTTCCACCGAATCAAATTTAACACTTGACCTTTTGGGTTTAAACATCTAAAGACCAATTTCGGAATCACTTTATAAACCGAAACCAACCTCCAGATTTATAAACTTCGAAGAATTTATATTTAAAATTAGAGCGCCATAATTGTGCTCTTTCATGGTCCCATAACGAAAAAGATCGTAATCCTGGCAAAGTTCTTATACATATGATGAGGAGAGTTTGTTTCAGGCCTTTAATCCCGTTTGTTTTTTGAAACATATCCCGGGATAATCCGGTGTTAATTCACCCGGATTGATGCGTGAAGAATTTTCACGATGAAATAGCGCTGTGTGAGTGTGTACGCACTGCATACACAAGACATACATACATATATCGATTAGTTTGAGTGCTCCGTGCGGTTTCGAAATATGCACAGCCGGCTAGGGAGCATTTTGAGTGTGTGTGTATGTGCTGGGTATGGGCGATGGAAACGTCGTACCCTAGTCGATCATCCACCTCGCCGTTTATAATTTCTGCGTAAAGTTTTCCCGAGATTTTCCAAATACCACTTCAGGCAGCTATCAAACCAATACATATGTATGCTGCTTCTCGGTCTAAATCTTTCCTATACGTTAACTTACATTTTTTGCACGCTTAGCATGCATTTACATCCGGAAAGAACATGTATGACCTCCGAACTATGTTATGCCTGCACAGGTGTTTTCATCCACTAGTACAACCATACCATATATACTTGCAATTTTGTTATGCACTTGTGCTACGGTTTCGTAGCATCTTTTTGAACATTTTATGTTGTAGAGAGAAGATATGAGTAGGGTAGACTTCCTACCCACATGTAGTTCCTTTCCCCATTGGGTAACTTTTCCTTTCCTCCACTCATCTGTAGGTTGCTTTCCAAATGTGGGAAATTTATTGTTGCATAAAGGACACATAAACCCATGGCATACGTGGCGATACTACGCGTTCACGTGAGACCGTTGCAAGTTGGATCGTGAAGTCTACGTTCATTCTGAATGTCTGTCACATAATTCCAGCCTGCGTTATTTCAGCATTTTATAGCAGATATACAGGCACTAATTGTGCAACAGTTTCGGGGAAAGTTGTAGAGAAGTATTTCCGGATTCGATCAAAATGCCTCGTGGAAGACCTCGAGGTCGTGGTCGAACTTCAGTCGGAAAAACAGTAGCTAAGTCATCACCAGCATGCTCTAGTCGTAATCGAGGACGTTCAAAACCAACTGGTAGTTCGATGAAATCAAAATCCACAAAATCTTCAAAATCCAAAGAGTAATAGTTCCATGTAGTTCGAATAAATGCAAAATCTCTTCAGCTACCGGGTGGTGCTCGTTGTTTGTTTCGGTATAATGGTTATATGGCTGCAGTACTGGCCTGAGTTTTTTGAGACGACTGTTTTTCTCATTTTTTCATTATTATTTGCTATTAGAAGTAATTGGAGCAGATTTAGTGGCTTATGGATTATTTTGGTTCATTTTAGTCCTTTCTCTTACCTTCATTTCTGAAATTTTCTTTAAAATTTAATGGCTAAAATCGAATGAAAATTCCTTGAATGCGAAGGATTTCGAAATTTAAATTTTTTGCGTTAAATGCAGAATGAAAATATATCTTTGTTTATGAACTTTTTAGACAATTCTTAATAATAAATTAAATTTTACGATGAAATGGTTTTGTTTTGATATAAAAACCCTAATATAGATTGGACACCTAATATAGATTGGGTGGTACTCTCCTGGCTGAGAGTACCACCCAATCTATATTAGGTGATTTGATTTCTAGAAAGCTTATTTTTGCA